CTCAGCCAGCAAAACGGAGGACGGGTTTACCATGAGCTGTGGAGCCAACCTGAGGAGGTCAACGGACCGAACCAGGTCGGATCGCTTCATCGAAGTTCGAAGCGGTTGCAATGCAATGGGCCTGTTGCATGGCTACATGTGGAGGATCCAAATGGTCCCCACTACAAGTACGGCTCAAAAAGGTTCTATATATATATATAATATGACCCCTGGAAACTTGATGGACTAAAATGTACTAACATCGAATCTTGCCTCTCTTCCTCCATATCCTCCTCTTCCATTCCAGTCGACCTCTGGACCATTCCGCTGGACCTGATGGAGATCTCCAATCCTTGAAGATCTGGAGACCTCGAGACGTCTTAGACCCATGAATCGAGATGCCCGTCCCATCCCCCGATGAGATCCCAACACGTCGAGGACCCTCCTGCTGGATCACGCTGCTGGCCTGGCACGAGGCACGAGAAGGTCGACTGCTCGAGCTCAGAGGTCGAAGAAACAAGCCCAAAAAGGCTGAAGAAGGCGCAGGAAGGGACGTCCTGCGGAAGGGAGGTTCCTGTAAGAAAACACCTGTGTGTCTCCTTGGCTTTTTTGATGAATGAGAAACATCTGTGCCTTCTTTGTAAGGCCACTTCTGGTGGTGATAATTGACTGATTGATTGGCCTCATCATTACAACAATCCTGGAGGGGATAGACAGCCTGCCGCAATTGACAAACACTCACTAACTGCAATCCTTGTCCCGCTTGGGACCTAGAAGATCCCCGTAGGAATTTGGGGGGTGACCTTGGGCCAGGCATTTTGTAGAAACATACATTCTACAAAATAATGGGTGGCACCATCAGCACTACAATATGGATAGCTCAGCAGTTTGAATGTCTACAAAATGACTGGCCTCAGGACCCCAACAAAAACTAGTTCACTACAAAATGAGAACTCAGGTACATTCCGTCTCAGCACGCAACACAAAGCAGCGGTGTCTACAAAATGAGAATCCAGGACGCCATATACCCACTGCTTCGGAAAACAAAAGAACCATGAAGAATCGGGAAACGGAAATCGGGAAGCGGACAAGTGCACTCTATTAACTTTTTCATCAACAGATAGGCTCTCTAGTCTTGTCCGTCTTTTCCGGACTGCTCTAATTGCTCTATCTCTTGCCCGTCTTTTCCGGACAGCTCTATCTCACGCTCTCCTTCAGCAGCACCCAAATCTGAAAGAGGGAGAAAATGCCTTTTCCCATAGCTAAGCTATGTGGCATCAAAACGGCCAACCAACAACCAACAGATACCCGAAACAAGATTCAAAGCAGTCCCAAACCCAAAGGCTCCAGTTAAGTTCAATTAAACAAATACTGAAATAGAAAAATCACATGAGAGATTAAGGGAGTGGCCGTCTTCTAGCACCTTGTGTTCAAGATCATTCAAGACCTTGAGTGCACGTTGCTACCCCACTGAAAGCTTTCAAGGCTAAGGATCACTGATTGAGTCAAGTCAACGGCGCAGACTTCTGGCCACGCTGGTGGTTGACAAAATCTATAATTTCCTTCAACAAACGCAAGAAAGCCTGACGCTTCGGATCAGATCGCATGTACTGGCTGCGGATTCCACTGAATAGCTTTGCCACAGCAGCACCATAGCTAGATGCCTTCCTCAAAGTCTTGTACCTGAGCTGACTAGGATACCCATTTTGTAGGCAATGCATTGGGTACCACAAAATATAGAGAAAGAGTTTCTCGATGAACTATAAAAATACAAAAAAAAAACAAAAAATATCAAAAAATCAAATACTATCAAATACTTATGATGAAATAAAATGAAATAAACAAATACCTGAAGAATCCTGAAGAATGTTTGAGTTGCATCATGTCCACACATGCTGGGCCATATTCCACCACGTCCTCAAAGGACACGTAAGCTGCCGCAGGGTACTTCATGCGGCACTTGCCGGAGAGCTCAAAGATTGGGTGAGTTGGAAAACTGCTGCTGTCTAAGTTCCGCAACTCCTTCAGCTCTTGCTGGATGAGTTTAGCCCCTTTAGCAGACCTTCGGAAATCCGCGGCACTGGGATCGTCCGTGACAACCTTTGCTTTCTCCTTTTTCACCCTCTTCTGCTTCTTCTTGTTCTTTTTGACCAAAACAGGCTTGCCATCTGGACCTGCTTTGTACTGATGCTTGCGCCTACGGCGACCATAGGCCCGTGTGGTCTTCGCCTTCACCTCCCCTGTGCCCACACGCTTGCGGCCTCGTGCCATAGCTGGCTGGACCAGCCAAAGCTTCATGGACTCAACCCTGGCCAGTGCTTCTCCACTCTTCTCTGTCAGGTACACCCGGAGAAAGCCATTGTTGTCGAACGGCTGCACGCCTTGGCTACAAAATGCAAATCTACCTAGCAAGCCTACAGAATGAGCACCCTGCACTCACCATGCAAAACAATGTTTGTATATGCAGACAAAGCACATCTATCGCAATCAAGGATGCAAACCAGGCTCTCGATCCTGACCACCCATGCCAAGGTCTCAGACCCACACTGCCAAGCCGTCGGGGGGTGCAATGTCTCATCCATAAGTTCAATCTCAATCACTCGGAACCCCACGCAAGAATTGATTGGCGTGTCACCAGCATTGAGCTTGGGGGCCTTGATGCCTCGCCAGGCAGAGAGCACCATGCCCAAAGACACTTCTTGCTTCTGATTCGGCTTGATGAACAAGACAATGTTCCCAGGCCTCCAGCTGATTTGAACAAAGTAATAAACTATATTTCTATGTGTATACGTACATATTAATTAACAAACAGAACCTTCACGAACCTTGCATACCCTTGCTTTGTTTATAGCAGAAAACTGGACACTACAAAATGAGGTACCCGTACAGTGCCTATAGAATGATTGACCATGATTGACCATATTGAAAGATGTTACCAAAACCAGAGCAAAAATGAAGAGTTATATATACAGTAATGAGCCAAAACACTTGATTCTTTCTGGTGGATTCGGCGGCAACTCCAAATCCTCTTGCGCTTTCCTGACCAGCTCTTTCCACTTGTCCAATCGGCCCGCCCTGCTTCTGTACGCAGGTTCTGCCTTTTCTGCCTCCATTTGTGCAAGGCGGTGTTCATTGTACCTTGAGCTAGGCGAAACAAATCACACTTAAAACCAGGGTTTTTTCAGAACCAGGAGCTATAAAATGAGGGTAGGCATGGCATTCACTACAAAATATATGTCACCATCAAAAAGAAACAAATGATATAAACATAAATAAACAGTTCATAACAGTTCTGATTAAGAAAGAAGATGAAAGAAGATTATTTTCATAGCCGATGTCTATAAAATGAGGGTAAACATTGCATTGACTACAAAATGTATGACATGTATGTCCTCTGCACATTATTTCGCAAAGAAACATCAAAAAGGGCAAACTATTTGATCCAGGAAGCTGGTGCCAATTCAGTTTCTTCGAGGCTCGCCTGCAATTTTTCGGGTTCTGTAGCCAGCCACAATCGGATCCTCCCACACCACTTCGAAGGAAAACGGCCAGCCGGAACAAACTGTTGAAAACACATCCACGCTGTCCCAAGCTCAAGGCCTCGAGGAGCGTGGTAGGCAAAGTGTTCAGATCCTTTCTCTTCTTTGGAGAGCAGCTGTTCTCCATGCGGAATGGGTCTGTGGCAGAACTGGCTGACAGAACTTCACGGAGTAGCTCGCTATCTGGCACATGCCGAAGGTCTGGCATCTTGTCGTCCTGACGCGTCGGAATCTTCTCATCATCCTCACCCTTGAGCAACTTGGTTTCATCCTGCAGCTGGGTGAGAAAGCCCATGCAATCTGCTGGTGGCTGATCAAGGCAGATCTCAAGGTCTTCCATTTCTTCATCATAGTCCATGTCATGGCTCAATTCGAAGAAACTCTCACCAGCAGTCTCAGAGCACAGCTCACGGTAAACCTGCTCCAGCTGCTTGCTTGGGATGCCGCTGCATGTAGACACCAGGTTCAATGCTCCTTCCAAAGCCCTGTGGCAGCAAGCTCGGAACCTCAGAGCACATCCGGGAGCTAAGAAGAGCTCTACAAAATGAGGGTTGCACACAACAAATCTACAGAATCAGTGACATGTTTTCTTTTCACACAAATAGCACCCAGCACACTAAACTTCAGAAAGAATGTCATTGAGAAAACCTACATACAATAAGTAACATAAGTATACATAAGTCACAATTGCTGTCACAAACCTATATACAAATAGCATCAAAAGATATCAAAAGCTGTTATTGTAGGTTCAAAATAATCTAAAATGAACTCTGACCACCTTATTTTGTAGGCAGTACGTCTGAACATTGGATTGTCTAAAGCATCTTGTTGCACACTTGCTGTGAAGTCCAGTCAAGGAGCTCTTCATCTGAAAGGTGTGGCTCTTGTCTGACCTTCGCCTTCTTGCTGCGATTGAGCTCCTCGTTGGTCTTCATGAGAGTCCTGGCACAAGCCATCCAATATGCTCTTGTGCTGAGCTGGGCATTTGTTGCCTGACATCTCAAATGCCCAAAGTGCTGTTCAATGGCTTGCTCGGACAATCGCTGGAAGCCATACACCCAAGGAGACCATCCCGCTTCTTTAGTAACGCAAATGACGACCGTCGTCAATGCTGTCGCCTGCAAATTCAGCATGGTTTGCTTGGCCAAGAAGAAGCTGCCTGTGGGAGCATTTCTTTCTTTGCAAAGTCTGTCCGCTACTATTTTGAACAGATCCAGTGCTAGGAAGCCTCCCAAGGAGCACTCACATCGCTGGAGGAGCGTCATGTTTTTATGGTTTGCAGGCGATATGCATAGGGCTGTCACAGCGTTGTGAACCGTGAACCCCTTGAGGTGCCATGGAACAGTCATAGATGCCAGGTCAGTGTCCTGATGGTCGGTGCTTCAAAAAAAGCCATCCATAAGGATGCATAAGGATGCATAAGGTAGTATGAGGAAAACTGAAGCAAGTCCACACAAATGAAAACAAAGATTCCCCAAGATTACAAAAGTATATACTGCACATCAAAATTGAGCCACTACGTGTTCTACTAGGAAGAACGGGTTCAGGAGCAGCGCGTTGAGGCGATCGCTCATGGGGTTGTGCCGGGCGTAAACGCTCGGGGGGAGATCGTGCTCCAAACAGCCAGTGCAATCAGCCCACAGAAGACCATAGTGAACCAGCCTCAAGCAAGAGTTGAGTTGACCTGAAGCATTCTTCGACGAATGACCTTGCATGATGCAGCACTACAAAATGAAGACCACCATCAAATGCTCTACAAAATGCAACCCCTGTGCCAAAAGAAAGCCTTTCACTGGAGACAAGCTACATGGCCCTGTCTGGCCATAGAAAGGCTCCTTCTGATGAAGGCATACTTGGATCGGCAATCTGGGTAAATCATTCTTCGGAAGAGGAATGAACACCAACTCCTTGAAGAACGGAGTATTCTTGATGGACTCTTCACTGATGTCTTGGAATTGGCCGTGTAGAACCTTTCTGATGATCTGGTGGGAGCCGTGGGCATCAAAAGTGATTCCTTTCACGACCTTCCCCGAACTCTCCAAGATCTGCCCAATGATCTCCAGCATGATCCAGCCGGACCTTTGAGATCCTGCCCCTCCAAGAGCACTTTCCAAGGGAAGTGATGCAACTGACAAAGGCGCCTTCACTGTTCCACAGGGATCCCAGCAAAGCACCTCCAGCATAGAGCTTGCCCTCACTATTCCATGTGTGTCCGTGTCATCTTGCTCCAGGTCAACGAAAGCCTGCCCCTCCTTGTCAGGATCAAATGCACCGCCTACCAGGCCAACTTTCCCATGCAAGCTCAATTGCGATAAAGCCTGGGTCAGGTATGTGCAATCAAAGGCTGCCCACAAACGTCCTCACATGCCGACGGTTCTCCCTACAAAATGAGTTTGGTCAGAAAACAGCCTACAAAATGACTACACCACGTAAGAAAATGTAAGAAAGGGATCTTACTGTAGTTTACTGTTATAAGAACCAAGCTTCTATGAGTGCTCCCATCATGTATTGGAAAGCGCTGGTCCAACAGCTCGAAGTTTGTTCGGAGCACTTCAGGGTACATCAAGGATAAGCATGGGTTTGGCAGGCTCATTGCATGAAGATCGTCTATCTTTGTCTTGTTGGTGCATGCCATGCCAAACCTGAGTTGAACAATGAAAAGAAAAGATTAAAAACAGATACAAAAAGGATCAAAAAGGAGTATTGTAACAGTCATTCTATAGAAGTGCGTTGCAAGAACCCCATTTTGTAGAAAGCAGTGTTGAAATACAAAGGTTCAGCACACTTATCAAAGCAGCTCTTTTGCAAGCTTCTTGTTGTTGCTCATCATAGCCAGGCGTAATCCTGCGTCACTGATCAAGGCGGTCTCCAAGGGGTTCTCGGTGCTACGCCGGCCACGCATGGTGTTGACACCTCTTTGTTGCTTTTCAAGAAGTCTCATGCATTGCAGGCTCAGACCATGAAGTAAAGGGTGGTTGTCTAAGCGACCATCCAGAACACCTGCCGCTATCTTCAACTTGGCAACATCTCTATCATCGAACAGGCCGCTTGCGATTGAAGCCGAAAAGCGGGTCACCACATCCGAAAAGCACTCCGGCACTGTTGCAATGTTGAAGCGGAGGGCTGGCTGCACAACAGAAGACACAAAAGCACTCTGCGCTTCAGTCGCGTTGACCTCTGACCCGCCCTTCAGCCAGGTTGCTCGAAGCAACTGCTGTAGCCTTCCATTGCTGAGCTTCAAGGTCTTTTCCATGCCCACAGGACCCCGTCGATATAGAAGGGAGGATCTGATTTCAGATTCAACTTCTTTTGATCTCTCAGGGTCCTGAAATAGCCTTGCAGACAATAGATTCGCTAAGAAGAATTTGTGAGCAAACTTGAGGACTGTTCTCACCACACCCTTTGTCTTGCCTAGGTCCGAGCAGTTGGGACACATTGGGCGGGAACCTGGCTGCGCCATGCACGTTTGGAGGCAAGCTGAAGATCGGATGTGCCAGACGCCCTGCTCTTGCCAATACGTATGTCTGGCAAATGTCTTCAAATTTGCATGGGCGGCCCAAAGACGAAATTCACTCTGTGCTTCGAACAGGCTGCCTGCAGATTCATCCTCAAGTAGCAATGCTTCACATGGCACTGGCTCCCCATGTTTGGCTCTCTCCAAGTCTTTTAAGTTCTTTTGGTGGGTGCAGGATTGGATGTGCTGGTCCAGGAAGTGCATGATGGCCTTCTTGTTGAGAACGTTCAAGTTCCCAACCCGTCCTTCGGGTTGGGTCTTGGACTTACAGATCAAACATCTGTATGGCAGGGCTTTCCCGAAAGTGCCCGGAGGCAGGACTTCGATGATACCTGGGAAGCTCTTCGCGTAAGCCAGTGGATCCTCATCCTGCTCGTCATCACCATCCGCTTTGCTCTGATCGCTGCGGGGGGCATCCTCGATTGGTAACAGCTCTGAGCTGATTGAGGTGGCACCCGCGATGGCAGCAGCTAAAGCATCAAAATCACAGTTGCAAGATTTCAGCAAAGCTAGACAAGCATGGCAGTCTATCTCCTGCCCTCCAGCCAATCGGAGCTGCAGGGATACGAATCCACCATCTGGACACGCAGTGAGTTTCTTCATCTCTGCCATCCTGCCATCGGGAAGTGGAGAGCTTAAAACCCTGCGTATTAAGCTTTTAGCAGCTACCTATTTAACTTGACCAAAGAACACCACCGATTTCTATAGAATGTGACTCCCATATCTAGTCCTATAAAATGCCTACCGCTGCCACCTCACCTATTTTGACCATTGCACCCTGCCTGGAATGTGTCCTCAGGAAAAGAGGATAAGTCAGTCCAATGTTGGACAAATACTTTTTGACAGCTAGCATCCTCTGCTTGCCCTCGCTCAAGGTCTTCTTCTTGCAAGAACGTTTGTGACTTTGTCGGCTCAACGCAGGAGGTTTGATATCCACTGAATCATCGCTGTCCTCGTTGACTTCCAAATCCTTGTCTTCAAGGTCTCCAGCGTTGCCCTTAGTCTCTGTGGCAGGGTCAGGCCGTTCAAGCTTGACTGACGACTTGGCTTTGGCCAACTTTGTTGAGCCAGGAGTCTTGCGCTGCCCGAAAGCAGCTGGGCGACACCGATCAACGTGCTGAGGCAATTTTTCAGGTGTGCTGTTTTCATCGAGCATCTTTGATTTCTTTTTAGGAGGAGTGATCTCCTCTCCTGACATGACCTTCTGCTTCTTCCCCTTTTTGCTGACAATCTGTGACTCTCCATCTTCACCTCGTGGCTCTGCACCTACATCGTCCTTTCTCCGTTTCTTCTCCACGTGTCCGTTCTCTGTATCCTTCAATTCTGCTTCATTCTTGTTCTTCTGTTTCTTCTTTTTCTTCTTCTTTGAAACAGTGTCATCATTCTCTGAATGCTGGTCAGTCTTCCCATTCTTCTTCTTCTCACCCTCTTTGGTCAACTCAGCAGGATTCGGGACCAGTACATCATCAATTTGTTGTTCAATCCAATCTGGATCCCCGAGAACGTTGAAAATCTGCTGCCAATACAAAGAGTCAGAAGCTTGTCTCCAGCTTTCAGTCAACTCCTCTACAAAATGAGGTCGTCAAGTCAAAGGTCTACAAAATCCTAGGACTTGGTGAATTGGTGTCGTCTGAACAACGCCATGGAGAGAATTCAGCCAAATTAGAAAGTCAACAAAGTAAATCAAAATAAATCAACTCAGTCCTGACGTAGGTCAGCAATAAGCTTCTGGTTGTCACTGTCACTAAAGAAACCATCAACGTCAAAACCAGGCCCACGTTCCAAAGCAAGAAACGTCCAAAGCCCACAGTCTCCATCACCAGGAACTCTTTTGGTGAGAACGTCATAGTTGATAAACAATTTTCGGGCGGCGTCCTCTTCCTGGAGCTCACGTTTAGAGGTCTCCAAAGATTCCCACTGAGCCTTGTTGAACAACTGTTTCTTGTCCTTGAGCTTTTTCTGGGACCTTTCAATGTCTGCAAGTTCCTTGGAGATGACAGATAGGGAGTTGGTGAAGCCCGTGGTCAAGTTTGCTTCTCCTATCTGCTCCCTGTGGAAGGCTGGCTCAAAATGGTTCATACTCGTGAATGTGGCAAGTGAGACTGGCTTGTTGTCATATCGGCCCACACGGACCAGCCACGTATCTGTGGATCCGAAGTGTGGCTGCAATGATGAATCATCAGCACGAGTAATTCCCGGGAGGTAGTCTTCCACGAGTTGTCCAAAGCTCATACCCACAACTTCCTGGTCACCCTTCTCTTCATTGACGAAGGTGAAAACCAGGTCTTTGTTTCTATTCAACGCCAGCATGGCCATGTCCAAGAGCCCCAAAAAGTAGTGCTCTTTATTCACCAAGAACCCATAGGATACCTTGGATGTCTCTAGAGACGCTTGTCCAGGTGTCTATATAGGTACTACAAAATGGACTCTACATAGATATGCCTATAAAATGATGTTTGTCAAGGACTCATCCAAGGAACCATGAGACTGGCCAACCGGACATCAAAGCCATCTTGCAGGTGAGTCGACTGTTTTCCCTCTCCTGGCTCACTCTTTACTTTGGCAAGCGCACCATCCCCTGGAGGCAAGAAGACAGCATGGTATGTCATGATTGTGGCCAAGAAATAGAGATGAGGGAAGTCTATCTGAAGCCAAACATAGGAATATTGACAAACAAAGGCCTGCCCTCCTCATTTTCTAGACTTAGAGACTTTTCTTGTCATTGTGTAGGAACATGTAGGAACCTGCCTGGTCCAAAGACTTCAGTGCCCGGAACTTGCGGTTCGAGAAACTGAGAAAAGTCTGGCGCTTCCGCGTGGTGTCCTCCAGCAAATAATGGACTATCAAACCAACCTGAGAGTAATCCCCAACCAAAGGCATAAAAAGAAAGGGAACAACTACAACAAAGAATTTGATTAAAAAAACATCTATGACTCTGGAGCCAAACTCATAGACTAGCAACACTCCAACCTCATGCCAAGATGTAGAATGAGACAATTACAATCGCATCTCATTTTGTAGACCTACGCTCTAAGTCTTGCATTTTGTAGCTAGTTTGCAAGTGAAGCCATTATTGTCTCTGACAGCACTCCTGGTTGATGGCCCTGCGCTCGCACAGGTGAGGGCACATGTTTAGTGGCCACCTTGAGTCCAGCAGGTGGCAATGCTGGGGCAGGCAAGGGCGGCTCTTCTTCTGCATCCTGAGCGAAATGGGAAAGTGAATCTGAGATGAACATTTCGTAGTAAAGACGTTGGGATGGGCATTTTGTAGTAGATAAACCGGTTGTCTATTTCATCCCATTGTGGAACCTACATGAACCTACAACGGTTTTAATACAGTTCAACGCGGAGACAAAATAAAGATCACCCACAAGAGCGCCACTCACAAACAAACACCTTCCATGCCATCATCGTACGCTGCTATATTCAACTCTGAAACAAGAACAAATACTCTTAAGCAAAACTGTCTTGCATCTCTGCTCTAATCCCCCGAAATTGATTCAGGCTCGATTCTCAGGCCTTTTTTCAACGAACACTCACAAGTCGAGAAAGGCTCTGACAGTTAAAGCTCAGAGAGCTGTCATGCCAATGCTCACCCCCGATTGCTGCAATTATGTGCAGTTTGATGCACTTTGGCCATTGGCTTCACAGGCACACTCAAGCTAATTAGCCAGTCAAGTTGTCCTCCACTTGCACAGAGGCTTCCAGCCAGCATTGTAGCAGCGCACGGCAAAAGGACAGAGTCCACTCCGCTGTCAAAGGCAAGTCTTTGCCGCCTTGCCAACCAATAGTGCCCTTTGTTGTCTTGATCCGGCTGTGGTACACCTTAGTTAAACTCCGTCATTTTATAGCCACAACCCAGCGCTCACCCATTTTGTAGACATCTTTTTAAAGCATGCAAACTTTCAGCTACAAGATCCCGACAAATACATAATACTTGTTACAAAACCTAATACGCCAAGAAACTCTCGGCTTTTTACGGTTCATCTGCCTTGCTTCAAATCGAGCCTGCCCCACGTGGCCACATGACAACGAGTACAACAGCACCGTCGCTCTCAACTACCAACTAGTTTTGACATGTGTTGAAAATTTAAAAAGCAATTGAATGCTATCAAAATCATTCAAAATCTATCAAATATATTCAAAAATTATCAAGAAATATCTACAGTAACAACCGCAACAACCAAGTCTCCTTGAAGCGGGCGCGGTCACGTTTGGCCATAGTTCTGGAAAGGCTCTTTGTCGTCCTAACGGCACAGGCTTGCATGACTTGCAGCAACTAACTTCTTTTTGCAAAACGTGTCATATTGAACGAAACCGGCCTCAGATTTGTCTTCAGGTGCGAAGGCTTTAGAAGATCGTGCCCGAAGAAGGCGAACCATGTCAGTATCACAGACCTGGGCAAATGTTTACAAATACGTTTCCAACAAACTACAAACTTTACAACGGGCACGCCAAGCATTATTTATATTACTTACTATACTCTGTTTTACATTATCTTCCGTACATTTCCGTACACTGTTTTTGTCTATTTAGTCATGTTCATTTCACTTAACTTTGGCCAGGCGGCAACCCCAGAACATCCGTCAGCCTCTGCATCTCTGGTTGCTTGAAGGCCCAGCTGCCCGTCGGCTGTTCAATGACCAGGTAAAGCGAAGGGCGTAAGGAAAGCAAGATGTGCACGCAGGTTGCCTCAGCTACATATTGATGTTACCTGGGGCCCAAAAGGCTTGCATTTTGTAGACACTGAGTGCATGAACTTCATTTTGTAGGCAACAAACGCAACATATATATACCTTTATAATCTTGCATGCTTTGCTCTTGGCCATCAAGCAACGAAGTTGCTCCAAATTCGATTGGCCAATCGAACCTTGAAATTCCGCTGATTGCCCTGTGGCCTTGCTAAAGATCTTCGGTGCACAGAAGCGCAAGCTGGAACGAACAAACTGCATGGCGGTGCTGCTGCAATCAGCCCGCCATCATGCAACCTCGGACACACAGCAAATGGCTAGCCGGACAACTTATATACAAGGATAAATTGTAACTATATATGTAATTATCATATAATATATTATTATCTACATATACATATATATATATAATATCTGAATGCCACCGGACAACTGCAAGCCCATACGCAGAAACTCTTTCACTCCCACTTCTGCAGTCATGTCATGACCAGCCGCAAGCTTGATGTCATAGGCAATGCCAGCCAGACCCTGTGCCTGCCAGACATTGCAGACCTTTTGACTGGCACCGAAAGCATCCAGCACGTGGTAGATCTTGGGCAATTCCTTTCCCAAACGACTTGCCCATTTCATTAGGTCTGCAACATGTTCCTCAGGCGCAAACCACCTCAGCTCCACAAAATTATGCTTACCTCAAGCAATATGCTATACCCACAAAAACCTTCAGGATTCAACAAGTCTATACAAGTTTAACCAGCAAAAAAAGAAATAGCCAGCGTCTTAGCCAGAGCACTGTTCTTCACACGTAATGCACGTGGTGTCGTCAGAGATGGGCGGCAAGCTTTTGGTTCCACTTGCAAAAGTGGACAGCGAGACCATCAGCAGCGCATGAACCCACATCTTGCGAGGCATCCCCAGCAGCCGCAAGTAAGTGGGAAAAAGTTGAGATGAACTCTTGATCCCAAAAAGCTTTTTGCAGTAAAACGTATATGATCATATATGATCCGTTTCTCAGAATCAAGCAGTCTCAGCACCACACCAGTCACCACACCCCCTCTACCTGCAAACCAGATTCCGCAGAAGGGAACACTGCTGGATGAGGAGCAACTTCGGCAGCTGGCTGTTGGGAAAATCCTGCAAAAAGACATAGAATCAGGCAGACAGGCCACTCATTTTGTTGACCATATTTGTGCGTGATTCATTGTGTAGATTGACCCTTTCAGAACGCATTCAAGGTCTCATCTCCAGTTGTGCTGAAACAAGTCAATATACAAAATCACTGGGCTTCACAAGTTCATTCACTGGTACTCAAAAACAATCCAAAAGATACAGTCTAAAAGCTGCTGCACTTAGGTATTCAGAACTAAGCCACATCGAAAAGGTGCTGTAACATCACCATATGATAAACTTTATTGTTCTGTTCATCTCATTTTGTAGGCATGAATTGAACCCTCCTCATTATATAAAGCAAAACATCTTCGAACACCGATTTCCTCCCAATGCTTCGGCTGGATCTCCAAGTCCGTTTTGATGAGCATCAGCAGGTGGCTCTGGAACTTCAGATGGTCCTGACAATCTGTGTTTTCGGGCATCCACCAACATTACAGATTCACAAAATCTCACGAGGCTTCACGGTTGTTGGCAGTGGTGCTCAACAGATCCTAGAAGAGAAGGAAAAATATGCGTTTCCAAGTAGGAGTCTAGAGTTTTGATGACTGTAGCTATGACTCCTTTTAAGGGGACTGGCTTTTGCACCTCTAGTCAACCCATTTTGTAGGCATGAACTGCTTCCAACTCATTCTCTAAAATAAAACTTGGAAAAATAAACATATTCTCCTGGTGCGTCGGCTGGATCTTTGGGTTCGTCTTGAGGAGGATCAAGAGGTTGCTCTTGAACTACGGAAGCGCCTGAAACTTTGAACGTTTGGTATTTCGGGCGTCAGCCTATGAAACGAATAGTATTATACAAAATCACTAGGCTTCACAAGTTCACCCACTGGTACTGGTACTCAAAACAATCCAAAAGAAACTATCTAACATCTGCAGCACTTACTGTAGGTATTCAGAACTAATTCACATCGAATAATAAGTGCTACGACATCTTCACATGATACTGTAACCTTGGTTGTTCTGTTCATCTCATTTTGTAGGCATGAATTGAACCTCCTCGTTATGTAAAGCAAAACGTCTTCGAAAACCCAATTCCTCCCAATGCTTCGGCTAGATGTCCAAGTCCGTTTTGAGGAGCATCAGCAGGTGGCTCTGGAACTTCAGATGGTCCTGACAAATCTGTGTTTTCGGGCATCCACCAACACTACAGATTCACAAAATCTCACGAGACTTCACGGTTGCAGGCAGTGGTGCTCAACAAGATCCTAGAAGAGAAGAAAAATAACAGTTTTCCAATGAGCAGGAATCTAAAGTTTGGGATGACTCTACCTATGACTGCTTTTAGGGGGCCTGGCTTTTGCTCCTCTAGTCAACCCATTTTGTAGGCATGAACTGAACCCTCCTCACTATATAAAACAAAACATTTTCGAACACCCATTTCCTCCCAATGCTTCGGGTGGATCTCCAGATCCGTTTTGATGAGCATCAGCAGGTGGCTCTGGAACTTCAGATGGTCCTGACAATCTGTGTTTTCGGGCATCCACCAACATTACAGATTCACAAAATCTCACGAGGCTTCACGGTTGTACACAGTGGCGGTCAACAAGATCCTAGAAGAGAAGATAAGAGAAGGGAAACAGTTTCCAAGCACAGAACGGAGTCTAGAGTTTTGATGACTGTAGCTATGACTCCTTTTAAGGAGCCGTGCTTTTGCTCCTCTAGACACCCCATTTTGTAGGCACGAACTGCTTTCAACTCATTCTCTAAATTAAAAGCACTTGGAATTAAAACATGTTCCTGGAATTCAAAGCCGACTTTGCTCTTACAAGCATGGATCTATAGGGGAGAACGAGTCAATGGCATAAGGAGGGGACCTATGATATGCAATCCTCTTGTTGGTTAGGCCACTTCCATGCCATCTACCCACACACTACAGAAATGTGGAGCACGCACGCTGCAAATATTTGCAAGTGACTAGAGCTTGGAAGCATTACATGAAATGTCAGCAATTAGAGGAGCTTCCTCCACAGCGCAGATCGCGTGCCGCCTTTTGCCAAGCTCCCTAGCTGCCATCCGCTGCTCCGCTTCCTGACTCCTTCCTCGCCTCTCATCACCTTCCTCTCATCACCTTCCTGTCCTCGCCTTCTTCTCCTCACCTTCCTCTCCTCACCTTCCTCTCCTCACCTCCCTCTCTTTTCCTCATCCTTTTCAGGACTACGACAACTTGTGCATGGCCATTGCTAAGGAACTTCGTTGCGTCAATTCCGGTGTGTGCTGTTGGAATGCCTTTGGATTCACGGGTCCGGTCCGTAATACTGTTTCCTCCAATGTCCTCCAGTAATGTCTCGCAGTCTCCAAACTCCGATGTGTTCTCCCCATCGGCTCCAGCCGGGAGCTCAGCTACCGCTGGAGCCCGTTCCAAACATCTGACACCTCCCTTCCGCCTTCCCCGGGACCAGGAATGTTCGTCGTCCCTGTCTCCCCCCGTTGAGGGAACACGAAAATCAGCTATTTATATCACTTTATAGCTATTTAAAAAAAACAAAGGCAGAAGAACGCGGCTGAAACCACCCTGGCGCAGAGGCAAAAATGAAATCTATTTGGCACCTCCTGATGCCTGTGTTTTCTCATCTGCTCAACCCATTTTGTAGGCAAGAACTGCTTCCAACGCATTATCAAAAAGACATTAAAAAGACTAATATAAAAAAACAATAAAAAACACACACTAGGGTTCACAAATTCACCCACCAGTATCCACCAGTACTCAAAAACAAATCCAAAAGAAGCAGTCTAAGAGCTGCTCATCTCATTTTGTAGCCCTGAACTGAACCCTCCTCATTATATATAGCAAAACATCTTCGAACACCCATTTCCTCCCAATGCTTCGGCTGGATCTCCAAGTCCGTTTTGATGAGCATCAGCAGGTGGCTCTGGAACTTCAGATGGTCCGACAATCTGTGTTTTCGGGCATCCACCAACATTACAGATTCACAAATCTCACGAGGCTTCACGGTTGTACACAGTGGCGCTCAACAAAATCCTGGAAGGGAAGGAAAATAGACCAGGCTCCTAGAGTTTTGATCACTGTAGAAATGACTCCTTTATAAGGGGCCTTGCTTTTACACCTCTAGTCAATCCATTTTGTAGGCATGAACTGCTTCCAACTCATTCTCTAAAAATAAAACTTGGAAAAATAAACATATTCTCCTGGTGCTTCGGCTGGATGTTTGGGTTTGTCTTGAGGAGGATCAAGAGGTTGCTCTTGAACTACG